ACTTTTTTCCTGTGGTACTGGGGTTTCCACTTAGTCCTTTTCACTTTTAGTTACTTTTTACATAGGTTCTTGCATTTTTCCCAAGACTATTTGCCAGTGGTGGTTTGCTTTCTTATCTGAAACCTTCAACATAGATGATTTCAAATAGGTGCACCACCATAATTATCTTACTTATTGAGGAAGGATCCTGCTGTTTGTTAGGATGGCCTTAAGCTTCTATCTTCCCAATTTCTGCCTCTTGATCATCTGGGTTATAGATAAGGGCCACAGTGCCCTGTCCTAAAGGCCTTTTATGTTTCTTTCATCACTGAGCACTGACATGAGCAAAGTCCTTAATTTTGGTAGTTTATGTAACATTTAAGAAAATCTTGGGGCTGGGAAGGTGGCTCAGTGGTAGAGCGCATGCCTTGCATGCCAGAGACCCTGGGTTCGATTCCTCAGCACCACATAAGCAAAAATAAAAAAAGCCGGAAGTGGCGCTGTGGCTCAAGTGGTAGAGCGCTAGCTTTGAGCTGAAGAGCTGAGGGACAGCGCCCAGGCCCAGAGTTCAGGACCGGACCAAAAAAAAAGAAAAGAATCTCATGGACTTTCCTGCCTGGGCTGGCTTTGAACTGTGATCCTCAGATCTCAGTCTCCTGAGTAGCTAGGATTACAGGCGTGAGCCACCGGGGCCTGGCTAGTTCTAGCTTTTTGTTGTTAATTGGAGATAAGAGTCTCAGACTTTTCCTGTATGGACTGGCTTTGAACTGTGCAGCTCAGATGTGAGCCTCCTGAGTAGCTAGGATTACAGGTGTTAACCACCGGTGTGGCCCAGTGATTTAGTTCTTTATAGTTTTCCCTAAAGTGCTTAGTTTTTGCTTATTTTCTTAATCATTTGGCTTTTATGTGCTTAACAGATGTACAGAAAACATTACAACTCAAAAGATTTGTCTTTATTCTTTATTCATGTGTTTATTCTTTCCTAGGATTACTCCTAAAGGAGAAATGGGAAGCTTTTGGTCTTAGACTCAACCATGCCCAACAACAGATGAAAATGACTGAAAATGCACTATTGTTTGCATTTGTGGAGGTATTTTGCTTTGTTTAGATGAAGGGACTGTTATATTATCATCGTCATCATCATCACTACCACCATTTTCTGATACCAGGGCTTGATGGCAGAGCCTTGAGCTCTCTTAGTTTTTTGTTTTTGTTCAAGGCTAGTGCTCTAATGATTGAGGCACACCTGCATCATATTACTTAATTGGAGATAGACTCTCAAGGACTTTTCTAGCTTGACTGGATTTGCTGTCCTTTGATTTTTGCCTCCTGAGTAGCTAGCATTATAGCCTTGAGCCACATTGTTCCCTTTTTGTGTGAGTGTATGCCCATTGTGTGGTTTGAATTCAGAGACTGGGTGCTGTCCCTGAGCTTTTTTGCTGAAGGTTGGGACTCTACTACTTGAACCACAGCTCCACAGCTGGCTTTTTTCACTAATTAGGGATAAGAGTCTCATGGATTTTCCTGCCCAGGCTAACTCACACTGTGATCCTCAGATCTCAGTGTCCTGAGTAGTTAGGATTACAAGCATAAGCAACTGGCGTGTTTACTAATTTTAAAGATACAATTGAGAACAAATAGTTAGCTTTACACTTTGACGTTTGTATGTTTATCCTGCTGCAGGCAGTGGGAATACACATAAATAAGCAAAAGGTTGAACATAAGATAACTGTCAGCTTAATTGTAAATATGGCAGAGACCAAGTTTGAGGGGGTGTTAGATTGACATGGTTGGAGGGAGTGTTAGGCTGACATAGAGATGTCTATTCATATCCCAGTGTATATTTGATTATATTGTTTGGTTATCTCTACTGCTATCATATGATCCTGTTAGCAAAGGGTCAACTTGATTAAATATTTATAATTTGTCTTTATTGTCTTGTTTTAAAAATACTTTTATGAGACTCTTTTCACCATCCTATTAAGCATGTAGGAGTCTTAAATTGGTGTTTTTATGGAGAACGTTGGTGAAGTAGGGATATTTGCTCATTTATACTTAGTATGATTATTTCTAAAATAAAATACCACAGCTACTCGAGTCAGGTCAGTATCTCTCTCTCTCTGTCTCTCTCTCTCTCTGTGTCTCTCTCTCAATTGTTATTTTTAAGGAGTTGTACAAAGGGGTTACAATTTTATGTCGGGTTATCAGGTTATGAGTACAGTGCTGGTTGGGCATTTTCACCCTTTCCTTCTCTTTTTCCCATTTTCACACTTCATCCCTACCCACAAGTTAGTCACTGTATATTGAATACAGTGACTGCATTTGCTTACCCTTCTTCCCTCTATTCCTGTGCCCTGCCTTTACCCACCTCCCAAAAGAAGAAAAAAACAAAAACAATAAAAAGTTTCCACTTATTGATAAATAGTACTTTAGATGTTCAGATGTTCTTAAAACCGCTTTTAGTCAGTTTGTATGTAAATACATAGGGTACTCTATATTTTAGATATAGCTTCCACATATGAGAGGAAAGTGCCATTTGTCTCTAATATTGGCTACATTTAATATGACTTGTTCTAAGTACATCCATATCTCTGCAATTAATATACTGTGATGGCTGAGTAAAATTCCACATGTGTGTATGTACCACATTTTCTTGATCCACTCATCTACTGTAGGGTATCTAGGTTACTTCCATAATTTGGCTCTTGTAAATGAACATGGATGTGCAAGTGTCTTTATCATACCCTGACTTGTAAAGAATTGGGTAGATGCTCAAGAGTAGTGTGGCTATATCAATAGGGTAGGTTTAGTTTATTTTTTGAGGACTCTCCCGAATTCCCTCCAGAGTGGTTGTACTAGTTTGCATTTCCACAACAATGTAATAGAGTTCCTTTTTTTTCCACGTCCCCACAAGCATTTCTTTGAATTCTTTATATTGACTAATCTAACTGGGGGGAGATGGAATTTCAGTGTTATTTTGACTTGGATATCTTTTATGGCTGAGAATGTTGAGAATTTCCTCGTGTTTATTGGCCATTCTTACTACTTCCTCTGAGAAGTCTCTATTTAGTTCCTTTGCTCCTTTGTTGATTGTTTTTTTTCATTTTAGGGGGAGATGAGTTCCATGAGCTCCCTGTATATATTGGATATTAGACCTTTGTGTAAGATATACATAGCTGGTAAAGATTTTTTTTCCCATTCTGGGGTTGATTATTATTCTAATTTTGTTTTTTCCTTTGCTGTGCAAAAGTGTGATATAATCCCACTTATCAAGCTTCTTTTTATTTGCTGTGCTTCTGGGACTTTTCAGAAAGTTCCTGCCTATACCTATAAATTCTAATGTTTCTTCTATTCCATCTTGAAGTAGATTCAGAGTTTCAAGTGTGACATTGAGGTCTTTGATCTACTTTGAGTTGATACTAGTTCATGGTGAAAAACAAGGATCCAATGTTAAGTTTCTGTATATGGGCATCCATCACCAATTATTGAAGATGCTATTTTTTTTTCAACTTACGTTTTTGGCTCCTTTATTGAATATCAATAGCTATCAATCTATGGGTTTATTTCTGTGTCTTCTAGTCTGTTTCATTGGTCTTTGGACCTGTTTTTAGGGCATTACCACCCTGTTTTTGTTATTACAGCTCTGAAGTCAAGTTTGAGGTCTGTAATTGTGATAATACCAGCATTTCCTTTTTTTTTCAAGGCTGGGGGAACCTAAAATTGTTTTGGCTATTCATGGTTTTTGTTTTTCCATATGAAATTTTGGATTGTTTTCATTGTTTTGGTGAAGAATGTCTTAGGCATTTTGATGGGGATTTTATTTAATTTGTAGATCACCTTTGGCAGTATCTGAATACTTGAGTTTTATGATTTAACACACTGGAGTTAATACATTTGTTCTGTTTTTTTCTCAGCTAAATTTGTTGGAGTTTTATTTTTTGAGTCAGCATTAAAGTATAAAGTAGTTAGTAAAACAGGTTTTGATGTGTCAACTGGGTAGATTATAAGATTTTTTTGTTACTATTCTTAGAAATAGAACTTGAAGAGGCAACAGATAATAGAATACAGCTAAATAAATAAATATTGATTTTGATACTCTTTAGCAACTGCGAAAGACTGTCTCAACTCCTATATACTCTTGATTTGGACTTTTATCTGGTCTTACATATATTCATAGCCTATCTGTGTAATTATTTGGGTGCCTTTATGTACCTGAATACATCATATGTTAAAATTTAACTGAACATTTGTGTAATGAAAGAATTATTCCTCACTATGTACGACTTGACCTTTTGGATTTGCTCAAAATTAACTTGGCCTTAATTCTGTGACTTGTTGGAAAAATTATGCCCTTTACTTTCTCACAAAGCAAATATAACTGCTCTTGGTAACTTTTTTTTATTTAGTGTGACAGCAGCTTCTTTAAGTGCACCATATAGATGGTAATTCTATCTTTGTTTGAAGTGAAATCTTAACTTTTTCATCATCTTTTAGGGCACTTTAGCTCAGGCTATAAAGAAAGGAGAGTGGATCTTGTTGGATGAGATTAATCTGGCTGCTCCTGAAACATTAGAATGTCTAAGTGGCTTGCTTGAAGGTTCCTCTGGCTCCCTAGTGTTGCTGGATCGAGGCGACACAGGTAAGAATTTGATTCCTTTGTGGTTTCACTTTGATTGGGTGGACTACATGCTTCTTCCAGGAGAATTTGTTCATACCTTACATATTAGGTTCCACAAAGTATATTGAGCTGGTTGTAGTATAGAGAAGGCACAAAGAATAAGATACTTTGTGTCAGTGCACTTGAGTTTTAAGTAATAAACACATGCTTTGATAAAATAAATACTGGTGATTGAGAAATAATAAACAGATACGTAAAACACTGGATTGGCAGCCTGTTTGATTTGTATATTAAGGTATGACAAGTGGTCATAGGTTTCTGAGAATGCAATGAAATTGTGAACAGCCCATACAACCAGGCTGATCCTGGGGTATAGTTGTTGAGCCTGAGGTTTGGTGGAGTTAGGGTCCTGTGGCTTATCACTTGTTTCAACAGGGTGCTGAGAATTTCTGATTTTTTTCTTAACAGAACCACTGGTTCGTCATCCTGATTTCCGTTTATTTGCATGCATGAATCCAGCTACTGATGTGGGCAAAAGAAATCTGCCACCAGGAATAAGAAACAGGTGAAGTTTTTAAAGTTCTTTGTTTATTGGTTTTGTTAACCAATTTCAAGATAATGCTTACAGTTTTTTGTTCTCCAATAGAAACAGTATTCTTAATTTCCTGCTTTGTTCAATTTCTATGCTTTCTATAGTCTGTAGGCATGAGAAAATCTAATAATATCATAGAAACCTTTTCTTTGTTTTTTGTATGAAACTTAATAACTCATGAAGGCTGTTGAACACACAGATTGTTCAGGAAGTCCTCTAACTATTAGAAATATTTCCTCCATAGCATAAAAATCATTAGTGCATTTTGAGAATCTGGTTCTTTTTGATGAAATTGATTATAATACTTTTTTCCTGTGGTACTGGGGTTTCCACTTAGTCCTTTTCACTTTTAGTTACTTTTTACATAGGTTCTTGCATTTTTCCCAAGACTATTTGCCAGTGGTGGTTTGCTTTCTTATCTGAAACCTTCAACATAGATGATTTCAAATAGGTGCACCACCATAATTATCTTACTTATTGAGGAAGGATCCTGCTGTTTGTTAGGATGGCCTTAAGCTTCTATCTTCCCAATTTCTGCCTCTTGATCATCTGGGTTATAGATAAGGGCCACAGTGCCCTGTCCTAAAGGCCTTTTATGTTTCTTTCATCACTGAGCACTGACATGAGCAAAGTCCTTAATTTTGGTAGTTTATGTAACATTTAAGAAAAGATAAATGACCAGGTTATTTTTGTAACTTGATTTCAGTTTCTAAAATGTTGGAGCAAGCTAGATTTCTTATCTCCATTATGAGCAATTTTCACAGGGAAATTTTAGAAGAACCATTAAAGTATTCATTTTCTTCTGATGCACCAATTGGTTTTTGTTGTAGTTGTTGTTTCCTGGAGCTTGAACTCAGGACGTGGGTGCTGTCCCTAAGCTGCTTTTTACTCAAGGCCAGCACTCTATATCTTGAGCCACATCGCCACTTCCCGTTTTTTGGTGGTTAATTGGAGATAAGATTCTCACAGACTTTCCTACCCAGGCTGCCATGAAATCATGATCTCAGATCTCAGCATCTGAGTAGTATGATTATGGGCATGAGTCACCAGTCAGTGCCCTGCTATCATTTTGGTTTTGGTGGTGAATGGATTTTTTTTTTTGCACATAATTTTCTTACACTTAAAATAAAAAATACCTTCTGAAAATAGATGTCTTAGCTGTGTAAATTCAAGGCTTACATATAGAAGATAATATTGTTATAGAAGCAGCTTCATTTTTATTTTCTTATGGTTCATTTGTATCTCAAGTGACACTTGTAGTTTACAGGCACTTAAAGGAGCTTATATCTTCTGTTTCATGTTTTTCTATTTTCAGTATGGCTATATTAATTTTCTAAAAACAGTTATTTAATAACCTACAGATTCACTGAACTTTATGTAGAAGAATTGCAGTGTAAAGAAGACTTACAAATTCTTATTCTGGATTATCTAAAAGGATTGAGTGTGAGCAAGAACATTGTGCAAGGAATCATAAAGTAGGTTTTCTCTCACTCGTCTATATACTTTTCTTCTAAAGATAACTATTTCAAGTACAAACTTTTTTTCTCCTTTTTCTTATACTGGAGAAATGTTACAGAAAAATTGTGTAGATTCATTTTAAGGTTATATCTTTATATGAACTCCCTTAGGTTTTCCTAAGGACAGTGCATATAAAGCTTAGAACCACTACTTTGAGGATGTGTAATCAGATACTGCTCTCCTGATTACTTCCATATTCATAACCAGAAGTTTTTCTTAGGTTTGATATAAATGTTTTGCATTTTTATCTGTCTTGATCAAATCTCACCTTGCCTTCTATAGATAAGTAATTTACAAAGAGGAAGGCCATATAGGGGTGTGTGTGTATGTGTGTCTGTGTGTGTTTGTGTGTGTGTGTCCGTGTGTGTTTGTGTGTTTGTGTCCGTGTGTGTTTGTGTGTTTGTGTCCGTGTGTGTGTTTGTCCATGTGTCCTAAGCTCTCAGCTTTGTTGCTCCTTCCCAGCACTCTGTCACCTGAGCCATACACCATTTTCAAAAGGCCACATAATTTATCAAGTCAGGTCTAGAACTAATAGAGACCTAGCAAAAAATAGTACCATGACTTGCTGCTTTAATGTGAGTCACTGTGTTTTGTGTGCCATATAGAAAGAATTCAGTGTTTTTTCCTAAATAATCTAAATTTTAATGTTGGCTCTAGAAGTTAAAAGTTAATTGTGTCATTCTGGGCAAATCATTTCTTTTTCTCTTTGTCCTCCTGAAAGAAATACAGTACGTAAAGGGTTGAAATAGAATCATATTAACATTTTACTTTACATTTTGTGTTTTTTTTCCATGGCATCTTCCCACATAGCTCTGTCACCACCACCTTTTTGTTATGTGAATGTGGGAATCAGAACCTGGTCCATGAACTTGCTAAGCCCACATTACCACTGAGATTATCTGTCATCTCCCCTCCTTCCTGCCCCCAACCCTGTTTCTGTCTATCTAGTTGTTCCAAGGTGGTTGATTTCTACATGTCAATGCATCTTGACTCCTTCCATCATTCTTCCCCATCTCTCCCAACCCCACCTATCCCCTCAAGTTAAGTGGTCCTATTAACCTCTGTGGACTGCATTCTTTTGTAGCTTCTACACAGCTTTACGGAAAGAATCTGGTACCAAATTAGTGGATGGAACTGGCCACAGACCTCACTACAGCCTTCGGACTCTCTGCAGGGCCTTGCGATTTGCAGCTTCCAACCCATGTGGCAGTATCCAGCGCTCTCTATATGAGGTCTTTCTAAAGTCTGTTTGATTTAGGAGCTGGGTAGATGGGCTCCCCATGGGAAGGAGAGAATGGGAGGAATATACCACATTTGCCAATGCTTCTTTGTCAGATTAGCCCAGCACCACATTCCCTTTTGCTACCACATTATCATGTTTAAAAGGTGTTCTGGGAAATAGCACTACCCAAAATGTTGAGTATTGTTTCAGTTATTACAGAGGGGCTACTTACATTATGTGTATCTGTTTTCTCTATAGGGCTTTTGTTTGGGTTTCTTAACACAACTTGATAGGACATCACACCCTGTGGTTCAGAAGCTTATTTGTCAACACATTATCTCTGGCAATGTCAAAGGTTTGCTGAAACAGGTAAATTCTTTGTCTTTGTAATATAAGGAAAAGGTTGAATTCTCAAAGTTTTGGCTTAATTTATTTTAAGAAAACTTTTTAATTATAAAAGCATTGTACTGCAAAAAGTTAATGATTACAGAAATGTTACCATTAGGTGGATATTAAGTTCTAGTGCTCTACCACTTCAAGCTATAGCCTCACTTCTGGGCTGGTGGTTAATTGGAGATAAGAGTCTCATAAACTTTCTTACCCCGGCTGGCTTTGAACTAATGATTCTCAGATCGCAACCTCTTGAGTAACTAGGATTACAAGCATGAGCCACCAGTGCCTGCCTAAATTTTATTTTTTCATGTATTCAATTGATATTGTATGTTTGTTGATGTTGTAAATTCAAGTTATCTTTTTGTAAGTAACTCCATGTAGATGGATACCCTTAATTTCCCTTGTCTGGGGTGGAGAGTGAAGGCAATCAAATTCAGGACCTCATAAATAATAGGCAAACTATGTACCATTGTGCTAAATTTCTAGCCCTAGTTTTTCTAGCCTGTCTGGGATAATTTTTTGATTTTGCACCAGAGATTGTTAAATTTTTATAAGGGCAACATTTTTACTAGATGGTTCCCTCAAAAGATTATATAGTCCTTCTAAGTGATTATTGAGCTTGTGCAAGGAGAGAGGAGCCACTGTAGAAACAACTGCTACTTGAGTTTGACAGGAAATTACAGAGTAAATATGTTAATAAGAGAGACTGAAAAACTGATTTTTCATTAGAGAGAGAGTACTGTTGGGAATTTGAACTATTTTGCACTTTATCTTTCAATAAACAATATAAATACATATATATACACACATGCATACGGTAAACAATAGTTAACTATTTTTATTAGGGTTTATTTTTAAAAAATACTTAAGGGGTTGAGGCATGGCTCAGTTAGAAGAGCATTAGCCAATGAACAAAAGCAGCAAGTACCAAATCAAGTCCTGCTCTCTGACCGAAAGTTTAATTAGTATATAAAATTTAAAAAGTTTTTATTAGTGTATATTGTACAAAGGGAATGACCTGTTTTGATGGTGCAGTTACATACAAGTCTTATCCACTCATTTTTTTGCATGTGCTCTTCATTGTTGTAATGGAAGCTTAAAGATCACCCCTACCCCTGCCCTCAATAAGGACCCTTCAAACTGGGACTTAGACAGATAGTTTCAAATGTGACCAGGTTTATAGAAGAGAATTTATGCAGAGCAATTCAACTGTTTTTATCTGTAAAATTGTACAATTCAACTTAACAATACCTTATTTGGGAAGATTATTTCATTATCTGTATTTTTCATTAAAGTTTAGTCTAAAAAGTCAGTAAAATTCTTTTCTACAGGATCAAAAATGTAATAATGCAGTCTTCTTCCTTTGTTATAACTGGCCCAGTTTGGGGGATGAAGGGAGTTTGGTATATAGGAAATACAAATTCTTGAGAGAAATGAATCATCTTGTATGGGGAAATATTTTATCGTCCTTTTCCTTCAAAGACACCTAGTCCCATCCTGACTTTAAAATCAGTTTATGACCACATTTTCTTCACATTCCTCAAAGTAATTTTATGCTTATATTTAACCTTGCATTTTAGTTTGGAAAGCATTTTTATAGCTTCTTTTCCTAATTCCAGCTCTTAGAGACTACCATAGTTGTCATGAGACTGAGCCATTTTCAAATTTACCTTTCAGCCTATTCCAGAGCCCAAAGGAGGTCGGCTCATCCAGGTTGAAGGCTATTGGATTTCAGTGGGAGACAAGGAGCCTACAATAGATGAGACATATGTTCTGACATCTTCTGTTAAGTTGAACCTGAGAGATATAGTCCGTGTGGTCTCTGCTGGGTATGTAAGCTTTTTCTCCAGATGCTATTTATTAATGTTTCCATTTTTACAATATAATCTAGTCATCTTCTCCATCACTATTTCTTTTCCTCTTGAATTGTTATTTTTTCTTTTTCTTTTTTTTTTTGTTGGTCATGCGGCTTGAACTCTGGGCCTGGCTGCTGTCCCTCAGCTCTTCAGCTCAAAGCTAGCCCTCTGCTACTGGAGCCACAGTGCTACTTCAGTTTGTTGGTGGTTAATTGGAGATAAGAGTCTCAAGGATTTTGCTGCCCGGGCTGGCTTTGAACCGTGAACCTCAGATCTCTGCCTCCTGAGTAGCTAGGATTAAAGGTGTGAGCCACCAGTGCCCAACTTAAATTGTTACTTTCTAAAGTCAGTATGGGACTTTTCTCACAAAGCATTATTTCTGGTTGCTCAGAGGAGCATTGTTACTCTTTTGGTAAGAGCACTTATGGACATAAACTATTTTGGCCTTTCTTAAAGCATTTTTTTATTTTGCTAATAGTGCTGAAGAGGTTAGAAGTATTCTCAGTACTTTTTTTCGTAGATCATTCTCTGTGTATAGGTATATAAAAATGCTCTGTGATACAGTCATTTTTTGAAAAAGTTCTTCAGTTCTATTTTCTGGATATTTTTGTCTTTCTATTGCAGTGGATCTTTTTAAATTGTCTTACTGAATAATCTTTTGCAGAACCTATCCAGTGCTGATTCAGGGAGAGACATCAGTTGGTAAAACCAGCTTGATTCGGTGGTTGGCTGCAGCCACTGGCAACCACTGTGTACGAATTAATAATCACGAACACACAGATATTCAGGAGTACATTGGTTGTTACACATCTGACTCTTCGGGGAAACTTGTTTTTAAAGAAGGTAATGTTAATATTTCATTGTGAATGTAGGTTTTCCTACTTACCTGCATACCACTGGTTGTCAGTTCTAACTGAGGCCTGTGGACCTCTTAAGGGATGGTGTTTCTGGTCTAAATTTACTTGGATCCCATTAACCATTTCAGGCACGTACAGACAAACTGCCAGATTTTAAAGAGGGCACTTTTACTGTTGCTTTGTTTCTTAGAGATTCAAAGGACAGAGTAAGGAAGTTTAGAGTAGACGAGAATTTTGTAATTTTATGAAATAATACTGCAGAAGGGTTATTCTTCATGCTAGTTCTGACTGTGGTTGAATTGTGATTTTTACCCACAGTGTCACAGATTTTGGGGGCAAAACTAGCTAGAAGGAATAATTTCCTTGTAAATATAATGAAAACCTAGGATTTGTTGATATTAAAAACACTGTTATGGTTACACTAATTCTCAATGTTCAGGTAATATAATGATAACTTAGGATTTATTGATGTTAAAAACACTTATGATTCCTGTTATCGTTACATTAATTCTGAATGTTCATTTCCGTGTAGGTGTTCTTATTGATGCTATGAGAAAGGGCTACTGGATTGTCTTAGATGAATTAAACTTGGCTCCTACTGATGTATTGGAGGCACTAAACAGACTATTGGATGATAACCGTGAATTGCTTATAACTGAAACCCAGGAAGTTGTTAAAGCACATCCTCGATTCATGCTCTTTGCTACTCAAAATCCACCTGGGTTTATGGAGGCAGAAAAGTGAGTTTCCTTTACCTCGACCCTTCTTTTCATGCCCATACCATGTTAAGTATGAAACAGTTGTTTCATTAAGAATGAAAGGAGTAGCAAGGTGCTGGTGGCTCAGGCCTGTAATCCTAGTTACTTAGGAGGCTGACATCTGAGGATCGTGGTTCAAAGCCAGCCCGGGCCCATGAGACTCTTAGCTCCAATAAACCACTAGAAAACTGGAAGTGGCGCTGTGGCTCAAGTGGTAAAGTGTTTGCCTGGAGCTGAAGAGCACAGGGACAGCACCCAGGCCGAGTTCAAGCCCCACAACTGACAAAAAAAAGAATGAAACAAGTTATTGTGATTGTGGTGAATAGTAGGACTCTCTAGGGAACTAGCTGAAAAGTTCTGTTCATTTTCTAGGTGCTCTCCAGAGCCTTCAGGAATCGGTTTGTAGAACTGCATTTTGATGAATTGCCTAGTTCTGAGTTGGAAACAATCTTGCACAAGCGATGTAGTTTGCCTCCATCCTATTGCAGCAAATTGGTTAAAGTCATGTTGGACCTTCAGGTATTTCATGAACTTAATTTACGTGGATGTGTTGATTAGATTTGGTTATCAAAATTTAACAGCTTCTTTAGACTAAAATCAAGTCTATATATTTACAGAGTAGAGGTCTTGAGATTTTATTGTTGCTGTTGTTTTGATTGGTAGCTGGATTTGAACTCAGTGTCATGGCTTACTAGGCAAGTGCTGTATCACTGGGCCCCTACTCTCAGCCCTTATAGTCTTATTTTAAAATGCATTCTGTTCACATCTAAGTTGATGAGCTGAACTGAATCTCCAGCCCCCATTTTTAATTTATTTTTAAAATTAACTTATTGCATCCTAAAATTTTTCTGATATTTAAGTATTCTGTTAATTCCATTAGAGTATAATTTTGGAATGTTTAGCAGAGGAAAAATGCAATTTTTTAATGTTAACAGGTGTGGGTGTATGCCTGATTGCCTGTTTGTTTGAATTCAAGGCTGGGGCACTGTCCTTAGCAATTTTTGCTCAAGGCTAGCACTTTGTCACTTAAGCCACAACACCTCTTCCAGCGATTTTCTTAGTAGTTTATTAGAAATGAGAGTCTCTTTTTGCCTGGGCTGCCTTCTAACTGCAATTCTCAGATCTCAGCCTCCTGAGTAGTTAGGATTACAGGTGTGAGTGGCCGGTTCCCAGCTGCTAACAGTTATTTTTAATGTTACTTATGCTGATCTTCAATTACAGACCCTCCTCCCTTTGTTTTCCAAGTAGCTAGTATGGGATTACAGTCATTTGCTACTGTATCCAGGTTTAAACTTTAAATGGATCAGTTTGAGACTTGTTGAATTCTTCTTTGTTACCTGTTAAGCAGTAGTTGTTGCCTTTTGTTTTTTCTCTTACTGAAGTGCTGGAGATTGGACCTAGCAGGTTGTATGTGATATGTCAGTTGGTTTGTTTTTTTTTTAATATAGATTTAATTGAAATTTAAAAGTTGCTTTTTTAAAATTTTTGTGTGGGTTTTATTTTTTAAATAAAGTTTCACTTTTGTCTGGCCTGGCCTAAGTTACAATCCAACTATTTGCTCTTTTGTTTTTTTTTTCTGTTGAATTTCTTTAATGCTGTTAGGGCAAATTGGTGTTACTTTTTAATTACAAAACTAACAGCTGTTAGAATCCTTTTTCTTTTTTTTTTTTAAACCTTTTCGTGTTTTCTTTTCTTGGCTACAAAATACTCTGGGGAGACGCATAATTCCAACTACTTACTCTTCTTGTGTGCCTGGGTTGACATATTCAGACCATCATGCAGGGCATTTATTTATTTATTTATTTTCATAGGCCAAACTGGTTCACCTCTGCAATCCTCTTTGTGCCTTCCTCTTGCCTAACTAGGAACACAAGTGTGAGCTACGTTGTCTAGCTTTGAAGTTCTTTATTAAGAGTTTGATCTATAGATTTTCAAATTACAAAATGTTAGTAATAATTGCTACTCTTTAGTAGTACGGTCTTACATTGTAGGGCTGATCTTTCATCTTTCACATATTTTTAAAATATTTTTTCTGTATGAGATACAGAATTATGTTGTTTATTCCTATTACTATTTATGCATGAGTGTGACATTTTTGGGGGACAGTTATTTGTCCATTAAGATTATCAGGACATTTTATGTTAGTGGAATGAAATTACTCTTAATGGGAGCTTAAATTTGTCTAGAATTTTATGAGTTGTATTCTGTGCTTTCCATTAAGTGCAGCCAACTCCTCTGCTCATTTGTTTTGATACTTTAATAGTCCTACCGCAGAAGTTCTTCGGTGTTTGCTGGAAAGCAGGGCTTTATCACTCTTCGTGATCTGTTCCGATGGGCTGAACGATATAGATTGGCTGAGCAGACGGAGAAGGAATATGACTGGTTGCAGCATTTAGCCAATGATGGTATGTTTTCAATTAAGTGTTTGGATTGTTGAAGACAGATTCTCACTGTGTAGTGGTGCAGGCTAGACTTAAACTCATGATCTTACTTCAGCTTCCCAATTGCTGGGATTATTGTCTTGTTGCCACCATTCTAGTCTCAATGAAATACTTTTATTGTAAAACGAAGTCATCTGCCAAGTCAAATACTGCCGAAATTGTTGTTAGTCTACATATTGTTTTACATGTTCCATGAACAACCTATTTCCTTAAGTCTTTATGCTTTCCTTCAAGTTGCCACAGGTAGGATTTGATGGCTTTTTTAAAGTTTTTTCTTACTGTTATTACAAAGGTGATGTATAGAGGGATTACAGTTTAGATAAGTCAGGTAATGAATACATTTCTTTTTGGACAATTGTCACTCCTTTTGTTGGCTTTTTATTGGCGGTATAGATAGGCTTGTTTCAATTATGGCCATTGGGACTTAATTGGCTGAAAGAATTTGATACTATATAATAAGTGAGGAGAATAAAACAAGCTCATGGGGCTTTCTTTCCCTATCTCCTCTCTTCTCTGTCTCTTTCTTTTTCTTTATTTGTTTCTGTTTCTGTCTCTCTTGGGTCTTATGTCTCTCAGGAGGTTTTAAATTAGAATCTTGGAGCAGCCAACAAAACAGGTCTGTTCATTGAACCCAAACGCTGTACAGCCATACTGAGAAAGCCCTGGTGGGTGGGGTGTGGGGGACAAAGTTAGTATCTTACACTCTTAGGAGCTAACAAGACCTGCTCTTGTTTCTTCCCTTATTAAATAGGGGTAATAATAATCTAAGTAGCAAGAAATATGTATAGTCAAGCAAATTTGATCAGAGGTCAAAACTGGTTGGTTGGGTTGGTCATTATCTCCAAATTGGTCAAAGAGCCTTGTCAGGCATAAGAAAATTACAGTTCCTGGGAGCTTTTTTTTCCCCTTTTTTTTTTTTTTGGTGCCATTCCTGGAACAATCTCAGTTGAACTACTGTTCCACTTCTGGCTTTTTGGTAGTTAATGGAGATAAATGTCACTGACTTTTCTGCCCAGGCTACCTTTGAACTGCAGTCCTCAGGTATATGCCTCCTAAATAGCTAGGATTATAAGCATGAGCCACTTAAACCTGACCTGGTTTTGATCTTTATTGTGATAGGACTTGTTTCTGGACACTTAAGGTGGATTGTAGGAAAGGATGACTCAAATGAGCAAGTCAGAAACGCATTGATTTGAGACTTTTAGTTAGGAGCTTTTATAGTAGTGTAGAACAGAGCTTTGTAGAAGCTTACCTTGATGCTTTCAGTCTTAGAGCAGTTAGATCAGTCCCTAAAATGATGAACCAGATTTATATGCTTAGTTGAGCAGGAATTACAACCAAAGTTTGTGGTAGCAAGGGAGAGTGTTATAAAAGATGGCATAGATGCTGAGCTTTTATCCTGAATGTAGTATCAGTATTCAGTATTTGCATACTGAAGTGAAGAGTTAATGCTTTTAGCAAAAGCAGCTTCTAAGTCCTTGTTTCAGACCCTGACCTTATGCATGCTGACCACTGCATGTACCATTTAGCTAAAATTCTAGTTCCTTAACTTTCTTGTTAGTAATAAACAATAGAGGAAGGACCAGGTAGCACAAACCTAGATCTCAGCATTTGGATTGCTGTGAGTTTAAGGCAAGCCTGGGCTGTACAAGACAACGGTCTTTAAAAAAAAAAATAAGAAATTGCATAAAAGATGAAGAAAGAATACTTTTTCCTTAAACTTTTCTATTGAAGTAATAATGTATGATAAAGCATTTTTCCACATGTACACTGCCAATTCCATCAAGATTTAGAATGTTTCAAAATCTCAGAAACCTTTTTTTCTCTTGTAAGTGGAGGTAACAGTTATTCTAATGTTCGTCACTGTAGTATGATTTTTTTTGTGTGGATAAGCTATATTAAATAGGATTCCACAGAACATATACTCTTTCTAATGTAGCTTTTTCCAGTATGCTGTTTTCGTATATCAAGATAAAATACTTTATGTGGTTAACTCATACATGGAGATGTCGCTGTTTGATTATTCATTCTTTTGTCCTTGGACATTTTAATTGTAGGTTATTAGGAATAAAACTGCATCGAATGTCGTTTTGTGCACAAATGTTAATTTGTGTTAATTCTTGTTCTCATTGTCCTTGGTGTTCCAACCAGATGTTAATTGTTCCTATTTTGTAAAACCCTTAGGTTTTATGCTTTTAGCAGGCCGAGTCAGGAAGCAGGAGGAGGTTGATGTGATTCAAAAAGTACTTGAAAAACATTTCAAGAAAAAATTATGTCCCCGATCTCTTTTTTCCAAAGAAAATACCCTAAAACTATTTGGTAAGTAAATTAGAAACCCCAGAGGAATATGAGCCAAGTTATATTTATTCGAACCTAAGTATGTCTTCCTTGGATAGGTAAATCATCTATCAAAATATCTACATTTGATTCTATGTTTGGCCATATTGTGTGGACTGAGGCCTTGCGGAGACTGGCTGTATTAGTGGGAAGGGCATTGGAATTTGGTGAACCAGTGCTACTGGTTGGAGACACTGGGTAAGGTTTTGTGAAAGTAACTGATTAAAAAGTTTGAGTTCTGTTCTATAGGATTGTTTGTTACTTTTTAAAAATTTCTTTTTATCTTTAGATTCCTTATTTATGAAAAATAACTTCTTTCTTTTATCACTGTCATTGGGGGCTTTTTTTCCCTATATTTTTAAAGCAGAAATGAGGAACCTTTTCCCTTTGCTTGCCATACAAAATCATTGAAACAGGCGTGGTCTTGGGTAGGTCATGCTCATCATATTTGTCTGTCCTATCATGTATCAAATAATTTCTTGGTCCTATATAAGCCTTGTGCTGGATGTTTCCCAACCCTGCTTTAAAGTGAGGTTCCTTTCAATAGCTGTGTAGAAGAGGAAAATTGATAAATCATTGTTCATTCAAATTCTGTTCTGCAGTAAGGCTCAGCATGGTGTACTTCTTGCTGACAGTGTTTAATGACTATTTAGAACACATTCAAGTTGGTAATCTAGCGTATATTTCCAACAGGTGTGGGAAGACTACCATCTGCCAAGTGTTTGCAGCCTTGGCTAATCAGAAACTTTACTCCGTCAACTGCCACTTAAACATGGAAACATCAGACTTCTTAGGGGGACTACGGCCAGCAAGACAGAAGCCAAATGACAAGGTTTGTCCAGTAGCAAATGTTGATAGTCTATTTATTTGAGGAACTGTGGTTAGTTGTGTATATGAAATTGTGAGGTTTTGTTCATGGTGGGGTTTCTAGACATTATGCTAGTTTGGTGATATATGTTATGTGTATCTTACTATCAGATTTTCACTTGTTTATCAGGGGCCTCCATAAAGCATCCCCATTTGCAGGTTTTGTGCTCTACTAATACCCATTCTTGCAGAATGACCCATTTTGCCTCAGCATGAGTATTGTCACATGGAGCCATCTGTTCTTTAATTCCTCCCATCTCTTTTCCAAATTGTAGGAAGAAATTGACACGTCCAAACTCTTTGAGTGGAATGATGGACCTCTGGTTCTGGCCATGAAAGAGGATGGGTTTTTCCTCTTGGATGAGATCTCACTGGCTGATGATTCTGTCCTAGAAAGACTTAACAGGTAATGTGAATTTTCAGTTTTATTGTTTCCTTTTGTTATAGTCAATCCTTTTAATAGTAATGCTTCTTGTAGCTCCAGAGCAAATGTTTGAAAATGTTCTTTTGGTGTTCTTTCAAGCTGTCCCATAAGAGATCTTGGTTATCTTTATGGCTGAGGTTAAAACAG